CCGAGACCAAATGCGGTCAAGTCCAAGACGAGACCATCAAAAAAGGGTCTCTAGACCGGTCTTGAGACCAAGACCGATCTCGAGTACTACAACACTGGTTATAGCAACATTTAACAGAAGCAAAGCATTTCTATCAGCTTGAAACCATCGTACGTTTTAGATGCTGGCCAATTAAATATGATTTGTTTTTGTTGTTTTTTTTTTTGCCAATATTGGACCAATATTACTATCAGAACAGGACATCCCTATTGGTGTTACAATCCTGAAAATGTTCTATTGGTAATATCATGCTAAATGTAAGATAATAGACAGGATTTCCATAAGCGATTATCCCAGCTTTTTCAAACTAAATTGAATTGCATTAAATTTTTTATACATAAGGATACAGTATGTTTGAAATGATTGATTACCTTTCATGACACTCAGTTTAGAAATGTATCATCCAAATTCAGCCCACATGCTTCCAGTCAATAACAGATTTGCTACAATAACTCAAAATGTGCTTGAATGTTCATGAGGTGAAAGATAAAGACAAGCGACGGCAGACTATTGAAGAGAGCTTTTGGCTGTAGATTGGAGCTCTGAGGGAAGGGCACTGGGGAATAAGGACTGCTGGCTGAATATGAAGCAGACAGGCTGGTTGGTTGGGCAGGTCAGATTCCAGTCAAAACATTTGGGATAACTGGCTAAAAGAATAAACAAGCGGTATCAGCAATCACTGAAATGTGGAAGAAGAAAAAAACACATGAAGGATAAAAAAAATATATAAAAGCTTTTTCATTCAGAGACTAAATAGTCTGTTGAGCTGGAAAAAAAGAGCACTAAAATGCTGCTGATTTGATGACTACATGGATGAGAGGCGTGTGGGTTGTGAATCTAGAGCACCCACTACACAAATGCATGCGCACACCAACACAAGCCTCCTCCACCAACAATAAAAACAGATTATCTCAAATCATAGGGCAATATGACAGTGAAACTACCTTTAAAATAATTTAGATTATAGATTGAATCTCAAAACCTTTATCTAATAACAATTATTTTCTTTGCATTTTCAAATCTCTCTCATTCACATAATGGTCATCTCATTTTCAAGCCCCTTATTTATTTGTTTAATATCGTTTCTAAGGTTACAGATCTGATACAGATTGAGACTTTATTGAAAAGAGATAAAGATGTCTTTGATTTTATGTAAAAAATTGTAAGAAAATCTCATTTAAGTTGCATGATTGTGACCATTCGCTGTGTCCCTCATCAGTTCAGTGTCCAGCTGAGTCTACTCCTCTTCATCACATCATGATAAGTGGGTGGAAGGAGTGAACAGAGTGGAATGGCAAAAACAAAGAAAGTGTGTGCCTGAGTATGAATGCAGTTAAAACTGGTACAAAACTTAAAGAAATCAGAGAAACTCAAAAGCTTTTTCGTTCATTAAATTTCACATTTACACCAGTAGGAGAGAGTGAATCAACGTAATTAAGTGAAAAAATCTAAAATTCCTCCAAAACAACAATGTACATACAATTTCTGCTTAACGGTTATTCTACTACAGAATAACCAAAATCCACCAATTCTGTTTAGGAGGGATATCCAAGCATACTCCACAAGTAGAGTGTTCTTTAACTATAAATGCGATTGCATTGCTTCAGGTGTAAGAGTTTGCAGCTTACTGTATGTACCCGGTACTTAAAGTTGCTACTAATGAGAAAAGGTTTGCATTAGATTAAAGTTTTTATCAATTTTTTTGTAGCTTGTCATATCCTGAGGAAAAACATAACATATTTCAAAAAATAAGACAATCGTGCGTAAAAGATAAAGAGAAAACCAAAAAAAAACAGCAAAAAACACTTAACTTCTGTGTTTTTGCTAACTAAAGCACAGGTTTTTCATGTTAAACACGACTGAATTTTAACCTGTTTACCAGGAAGGGTTGTGAGATGCGCGTTTGTGCTTTTGTTGATCACCCGCACCAGAGTAGGGTATCTCCGCCCAACGAACATCAGACCCAATTTCCTACCACGCAGCTAGAGCAGCAAAGATGCTTCAGCCGTGCATGAGAACTAAACTTGTCCAAGCATTAAAAATGAAGCAGCACGCATGTTTTTGCCGCTTCTTCTGCGTGCAATCTAAACGTAGCATGAGCATGAGGCGCTCGCTGTTCACTGCAGATCTGTTGGCTTAATAAATGTTTTTCAGAAATCTGTACGCTTTGAAAACGGGGTCCTCTGTTCTGAGCCTTCACAGACTGATCTAATGGAGTATCCCTGTTCCCAGTTTCCTTTGAGTTATTTTCTCATTCAACACAAACATGCCTAACATTCACCTTCTGATATCCTGTGGTCATTACTTAACCTTATATCCTTAAAGGAAACGGGCTTGATATTTTCACAAATCATTTTTTTTTTACATGTGAATGGTCTTTAAATTGTAGTGTTGCATTTTTCCCCCTTTTATTGAGGATATTTTGGTAACACAAATGTTAATTCACATCCACAAGTTGTTATACTGAACTCTGACACATTTAATCTGCAAGGAGGATAGGTCTGCACAATTTAAGTAAGACCCCTTGAGGCATCTCTGCCCCATTTGGCTAATGTGCTCATGGTGACATAAGGGACAGTGGTCAGGGGGAGGGTAGAAAGGCTGCACACCAGCAGCAGTAAAAGCCAAACACTTTATTTATTAGGGATAATAACTAATACTGTATCTAATAATGCAAAGGTGATTCTATTTTTTATAGCAGATATGGCATATTGTAGAAAATATATAGATATATGTATAATTTCCTTATTATCACATTTTATTTAGTTGGTTAAACGTTAGATTAGTTAGTTAAAGGGTTTCAGTCATTACTGTTTTAGCATCAATGCTATGCATCATTAAATCAGATAGATTCGAAATTCTACTTTTTCATAGATGGAACAACGTTTAAATTCTAAAAAAAAAGATTTAGAAACGGTTAGAAAAGGTTTAGATAGCTGTTGGCTGGTAAAGTTAAGTAGAGATTAAGATCTGAGCAGATAAAATCAACAAACTGCACTGGAAAAAATCAAAATCTACATAAGTCATTTTTTCTTGAATTTAGGGGGTAAGTGAGACACTCTGCCAATGGAATAAGACAATTCACATTTAAAATAAGAAAAAACAAATTCATTGTCTTATTTCATGTGCATATTATCTAATTATTTTATTTTAAGAGTAAATATCCTCATCCCATTGGCAATAAATCTTATTTACCTACTCAAATTAAGGGTAGATACATTTAATTTAAGACATTTTAAATTATTTCTAGATGCTTTTTGCAGTGTGAATACACATCCCATTCTGACTGGGATTGACAAGTTACTTTTAACTTAATATTGAGCTTAGCTTCTGTTTTAGACACAACACTTTCAACAATTTCCCTTTTCCCTATTTCTATAATGAACTAATTAGAGACTGGCTTTAGCTCCAGCCTTGGTTTAGCACTGGAACAGCTTTTGTGGAAAAATCCTGGTTAAATAAAAGTGGGACCAACATATTCCCCCTTCCATCCTCTAGCAATCACGTGTAATGTAGAGTAATGTTGCTCTCAGACGAACAAATTGCACTACAAACATATTTTTCTTGGCAGAGAGAGAAAAAGATACCCTGTATAGCTAATTTATTTACTTAGAAAAGGACATTTGTACCAAAAAGTTACAGAAACAATTACAGGCCTGTGGAGCTGGGTTGAATGAGCCAAAGAACAGCAACCATCTAGAAACATCCAATTAAAAAGCCATTTTAAATGCATCATAAAATGTAATTGTTGATTGAAATTAAATTGCAAAAACAAAGGGGAAAAAAAGCCTTCATTGGCCAACTTCGTTTCAATTTAACTTCGAAAACAACATAGCAAATCTCTCCTGGCAGTAAAGTCTCGTGCTTGGCGAGCGCAGTTATCTTTGACTCAATAACTCATATTTATTTTTTTTCTTTTTCTTAGACATGATCTGAGAATAAAGCGGCTCTCTGCGAGTTAAGCCATCCTCGTACAGTTTAGGGAGTCTATCCTCCAGCAAGCCTTTAATTTAAAATCCCCTCTGTGAACAAGAGGCGCCGGCCATCTGCCAGATTATGTTTTTGTTTGCAAAAAACCAGATAAAGTTGTGAAGGTCGATGCGCTGCGAGTTCTGGGAGGCGACGGTATGCATGCTGAGAAGCTGCCTTCACGGTGGGACACGGAGGGCGAAAGAGGAGATGTAAAGGGAGAAAGGGCAAAGAAAGCAGATGAAATGGGAAGGAGAGGCAGTTTAAATCTTTAATAGATCATCATGCAGGGAAGAAAAGTGTAGTCATTTAGGAAAACAGTTTAACTTTAAATTAATTTGGATTTGCAAAGTTTGGAAAAGGATGTATGAGTAAAGATTGGCATGATGTAATACCTCAACGTCCTACTTATCCGCTGTCGGAAACAGAGATGCACATCTGCAAAAATTTCACACAGTTCTCCTTTTATGTTTTTTTTGTTGTTGTAATGATCTGTGTCTGCTGTGATAAATGGTGCTGACTTAACCACTGAAAAAAAAAGAAAGAAAAACAGTGGGAAAGGAGTGCCTCTTTCACTGTATTTCCACCATTAGCTTTCCTAAGCTTGGCTAAAAAGCTCCATGCCGCTTTGTTCTGAAAGTGAAAGGCTTGCGGTTCAAAGAAACCCCACAGCTGGTGGAGATAACGAGGGGAGAGCTGTCTGGCAGCTTCTTCGTCCTGAACTTAGATGTGCTAATCCATGTGTGCTGAGAGCCAGAAACTTCTCATGTAGAATATAAAAATCCTCGTCACTGACTAAATCCTGTCTTTTTGTCATAAGCATCTTTGCAAATATAAAACGGTAACCTCACAAATTGCACTTCATTTGGATTGTTTTCATAACCTCTTCATGAATATTTGCAACTAAAAAGTTAGCAGCTACAAATAGTTGTTTCCTTGTATTCATGTCAATGAAGTGAATACAAGACAAACTATTTCTGGATGTCATTCCTTAGATTGCCACCTACTATTCAAAGAGTTTAAGTGCAGAGAAAAAAAAATCTCCTTTTAAAGGGGAGCAAAAATGCTAGGTACCCTATGGAGCATCTGAGCATTTTTATAGTATTGAAACCAAGCAGGCAAACATATATGTTTTTGTTTCTTTTTGTTTGTTGTTGTGATGAAATGTAATTCCTCATCTGCCTATCCAAAGAACATCATATCTTTAAATAGGTTTATAGTTTTTAGAGACAAGGGTGCATAAAGTTTAACACATGATCTAAATAAAGAAAATGCTTTTATATCCATAAGATTTATTCAGCAGTGATTTATTTATATCCTTTATTTTTCTTACGATTACAATGGATTATTGATAGAGAAATGTCATTGTTCTGTAAAACATTTAAATCAGTGATGGGACATGATTCAAATTTTTTAACTGAGTTAATTAAAGGGTCTGTTGATAATCTCTATTTATCATATTTTAACTTAAAACCATATATAGATAAAACAAATAAACCGCCTTTTATTCCTGAAATGTTTAATAAACATATTCATTATTTTAAATTAACGTGTTAAAGTTTCAGCCCTAATTTAAATGTTTTGTCTAATAACTTGGATTTAACTTGGGCTCCTTTGGATGAATAACTGCACTAATTACTGTTGCAGGGAACATGTTACAAAACTAATATGTTACTGTAATATAATATAATTAGGCGGTAACTGAGATGCATTACTATCTAAATTTTAGTGATATTATTACATTTCCTAAGGCGGTAAACACTTCAAACTTTCAGTTTTGAAAAAGAACTCCTAGGCCAACAGCGTAAATGAAGGCAAATTTCTCCATTTTGTTTTTAAGAAGACTTATTTTATAACAAGACAGTTTAAAAACAAAAGAAGAAGAAGATGAAAAGATGGCTACAACGATAGGTTAAAGGCTTTTTAAGTGGCTATACTTGCAGTAATTGTCATGATCTGGCCTGTTTGCTCCTCCTTAATTGGTTATTCCTTTCACCTGCCGTTTTCCCTCCCTGCCTCAATTATAATTTATTCCGCTCACTTGTTTCCTCTGGTTTATAGTCAGTTCAGCCTGAGCATTCAGGCTGAACTTGTCTTTCTGTTAGTCTGTCTGAGTTTTTGCCCTGGTTCATGTCCTGGATCTTGGCAGCCAGTGGAAAGAGGGTTTTGTGTTTGTCTCATCTCCTGATCGTCCACTGTTCCTCCCCTGCGGAGTTCTCTGGGTTTTTGGCTCTATATGTGGGGAGGTTCAGTTTTTATCTCAGTAAGCCTGGCTCCAGGGAGGAGACCAGTTTAAAGTCCTGCATCAAGTTCTGGTTCCACGTCCTGTCTCGGCTACCCTCTTCCACTGAGTCTGCTCATCCGTACCTGTCTGCTCCTGTGCGTGACCACCTGGTCATGCTTTCGAGCCCTGTCAGACTCTGAACCCTCCTGGGAGCCTGTGGATGCCTGGGAGTCTGGATCCTGCCACCTGTTTCTGTTCCTGCCTGATCTGGATCCTGTCCCTGTCTGTTCTGGATTCCTGACCAGGATCGGCTTCCAGCATGTCCTCTGGAACTGCAGCACTTGGGGACATTCTAGTACTGGACTGTTAAACCAGAGTGTCTGTGATTGGGCGGTGCCCCGCCCCGCTCCTGCAGTGTCCGGGAGCCACAGCTCCACTTTTGTTTTGTTTGTTTATTTAATAAACGTTTTGAACTTTCCTACTGACTATCTCTCCTTGAATACCGGGTCCCTCTGTCCTCGGTTCATGACAGTAATTACCGTTCAGGTTATTTTTGAAATAGCATTAACTGTCAGGTTTGATTTCATGGAAATTTAACTTGATTAAACCTTGTGTGGCCGCACTCAGGAGCTAATAAATGAGTAATTAACAATGAGAACTTGTGTCATTTAAAGGTTTTTGTTGTTTAATTATTCTAAATCATATTTTGTGATTTAGCTCTTCATGGAAAATTATTGTGCACCTTCATTTTTTAATGCCTTGTCCTAAAATGTTTGTTTTGGCAAAAATAACTAAAAAGTAACCAGTAACCTATTACTTTACAGAGATAGTAATGTGAAAAAACATTACCCTCTAACAAAGGTTACACTGGTATTAATTTATTGGTGGATGGCGACCATCAGCATGTGACCATGCTGATATAAAGAGGTCCGGGATGGGCCCATACTTAACACTTTTTCCTTCCACTCAACTTTATAATTCACGTTTGGGGTCAAGCTTTCTGAAAAACCCAATGGTCTGTTTGTATTTTTCCATTGTTTTTATTCAAGAGGAAGTTTTCTAAGAATCTGAATTTTAGATTCATTTTAGCTGTAAGCCACAGTTGTCATAAATTAGAATGATTATAATTAAATGTAAACAGATGCAGCTGTAACAAAAGTATTTCTTGCGATTAATGCATTTGAACAGATGTATTACCAACACCATGTGTTTACAGATAAGTTAAACTATACTTACAATAAGTTCCTGCATAGTTTGCTCCCAGAGAGATTAGTAGAACTGATATGTAAATAAAACAAGACAGATAAAAGTAACGGTGCAACAGTATCTCCCTCCATCACTCTGTTGGGAGGGATTGTATCGTGGATGTAGGGCCACCTCTGAAGTTAGAAAAGATGCAGAAAAAGCAGAGTATGTCCAATCTAACAAAGGAAAGCAACATATCTAATCATGAAGATAAACAAAAGCATGACTGAGTAGCCATGTTTTTATGTCAGTAACTTAAACAGATGGCTGTTAATTCTGTATATCAGGTTTGTTAATGTGCAGTATTAAGCTGAAGAGCCTTATGAGGGCAGCATCATACAAAATGTGGTTTAGAAAATTTTTAGAAAATCATAAATCATTTACAGATTTTAGTTCGACATTTTCATGTCTTTTTAATTGTATTTTTAGTTAAGTATATATTAAGAATAAAAGATTAAAGACCCATCAGACGAGTGATGCTAAATAATGCCATAATCCTTAAAAAAAAAAGAAAAGAAATCTAATTTTTAATGTTTAATTTAAAGAATAGAATATTTAAGGAACACCGCTTCCTTGAAGCTAACCTATCTTTCCCAAATAGCATCTAACCTTTTTCTCTTATTCCTAAAGGCCACAGTTGCAGCCTTCGCAGCCAGCGAAGGTCACTCTCACCCACGGGTGGTGGAGCTTCCCAAGACAGAGGAAGGGTTAGGCTTCAATGTGATGGGTGGCAAGGAGCAGAACTCACCTATATACATCTCCCGCATCATTCCTGGAGGTGTGGCTGAAAGGCACGGCGGCCTAAAACGAGGGGATCAGCTGCTGTCTGTCAACGGCGTGGTAGGTCGGACCCTCCTTTCGTTATTATGCTGCATAGGAAGAGGAGATGTTTTTATGAAGCATTAAAACTGTCCGAAAACACTAATTAGGAGAGAAACTGTATCAAGGTCAAAATGCTGTGCACATCGCTGGTGGGAAAAAGAAACTTCCTTACTCTAGAATTCATTAAGAAACTGTGACTCTGCCTCAGCCTGTATAATAATAAGGTATTTAAATGAAGGCAACATTAAGAAGTTGTAAAACTATATTAAAATTCCGTCCTCTGTGACCCCATCCTGCAGAGTGTAGAAGGAGAGCATCACGAGAAAGCCGTGGAGCTGCTGAAGGCGGCCAAAGACAGCGTGAAGCTGGTGGTCCGCTACACCCCCAAAGTGCTCGAGGAGATGGAGGCTCGCTTCGAGAAGCTCCGTACGGCGCGGCGGCGTCAGCAGCAGCAGCTCCTGATGCAGCAGCAGCAGCAACAGAATCTGGCTGCTCAGCAAAATCACATGTCGTAGGTGAGGCGCTTCATTACTTTAAGGGTGAGGGGTGGGGGGCAGTTAGTGGGATATAATAACACACCTGCTATTCTTTACGGTTAGAGTACCAGCAGCCTTATCTGGCATTATTTTAAAAAATTTAAATAAAGTTGTGGAAGTCTTAGAATGACAGCTTTCCAAATGTTGGCTGGTAATTTAGGAATAATCTGATCCGGCTCTGGAAACACTTCCTAGTTTAAATGTACTAAAGTAATGGTCTGTTCAAGAGATTTCAGCTTTTACAGAGTTTGAAATCAAATGCCCCTCCAAAGCATGTCAGGTTTTTTTTTTATATACCAAAACAGTTAGTTAAACACTAGATCAAAGACATTTTAATTTCCATAAATTGTTCTCTTTTACCTTGCTCACCTTTGTGTTCCTGTTAGAGCATTGCTTTTTCTTGAAAGAGATCAAACATTTTGCACATCTTGAGTTTTTCCAGACAAATTCATTATGAGGGGCATAAGAAATGTGCATGTTTAGTTGTGCAGATGAAGCATTTTTCAAAGCGCTGACAGGCGATAGTTTTAACATTTTATGTTGTTAAATGTGAACATCAGGAGCAACAGATTCCTGGAGCTGTTGCTGCTGTAAACAGACCAGCCTTATAAAGACAGTTTTTAAATCTGTTGATAGCCTCTTTTTTTTTAAATACCTCATCCATTTTCCCTAAAGCTTCCCAGAACAAATACTCAAATCTTAAACGTTTTTTTTTTTCTTCTTTTGAGCTAAGCTGCAGCCGTGCTTTGTGTAAACGCTTTAGCTTCCTGTTTTTCTGTCAACAATTTTCATCTTTTAATTCACATACATATGTGACTGGTAGATAGCAGGGATATGCATAGCAAAGGAATGCATAGCTTTTGAATTTTTGGGATCCACAGCTTAGGTTGTTGACTATGTTAACAGAAAAACTAGTAATCCAGCCCTCTGCAGATCTGAACTTTATAGCAGAGAAATGAGAAGTATTTTTTATTTTTTATTTTTTTTTTTAAGCCATAAGAAGCCTTTTTAAAGTTGGTATTCCATGAAAGGGATACAGCAGCCCTCTAGGAAGCTGCTTAAATGATCAAATGAGACTGAATTGAATTACATTTAGGAAAAGTAAAGCTGCAAATAACCCTTAGCACACCATCCCACCCATCCTAAGCATATCTTCCCAACAAAAACGGATGTAGAAGGAGCTTAATACGGGACAGTTTTGGACTAAAATCAAAGAAAGCAAAGAATAGGATAAAATATTCATCACCCAGCAGAACAACAGCCCTCCCATTTTATAGGTTTATCCTACCTCGTGTTGGTCAATCACACTCAATTCCAATTAAACAGCTCTTAACTGTATGCTTATGGTGGTATCTTGACTATATGAAATAGTTAAACAATTATGCTGTTGTTAGCTGGAATAAAGCTTCAAACTTTAAAGGTATTTTCAGGCAAATGTTCACCAAGTTTCAAAGTTCTTTAATGCCTCAAACAATAATCAGGCAGAAATTGTCTTGCAGGGCATTACTCTGCCCAACTAACTCCAATGTCTCAATTGTTTGTACGATATGCACGCTATGCTGGGGGGCAGCATGAGTCCAGGTTCTCTGTGGTCATTTTTATTGAATCTCTGAGGCACATCTGTTTTTTGAAACTAGGGTTGAGTTTGAGAGCTTGGAACTGAGTAGAGTTGCTGATACTGATCGGATCAAAAATCCTGTTCAATCGACCAGAATCCAAGAGTACAACATAGGATGGTATTATGTATTTCTGTGAATGAGTGTGAGGTCGTGGCTCTCAGCTCGTCTTTTTTGTTTTGTTTTTGTGATCCACAGGTTGTTCCAGAAGAAGAAGAAGTAGAAACGTTGAGCGATGGATCGTAAAGATCACCTGTACGCATCGAGGGTCCCAAAGGAAATCTCTTTGTAGTGGAGGAAATCAACAATAAGACTCTCTTGACCTCCTCAGTCTCCCTTCCAGTGAACCACCGCTTACTGAGCAAAGAGAGAATTTGGTGTGAAACTGGTGCTTTGAAAAAAACATGCTAAGTTGTCTAGTTAACTTTGTACTCCCTTTTCTAGTTTTCTGTTCTCCAGTTGTGGATTTTTAAAGCTCCTCTCCTCGTCTTCACCCTTGATCATTTTTCCTGATTTTAATTTTTAATCTTTCCGTCCAGCTTCTGCCAGTACCCCAGAGCTACCGTTTGTAAAATGGTGTTCCTATCAACTCCTCATTTCTGGTGCTTGTGTTTCATATGTATGATTTCTCGTCCCATTTTTCGATAAACTGTTTTTTACCTTCTCTACTGTAGCAAGAGCATATTTTATATCTTGTAGTTTTAGCAATAAAACATTTGGTTCAGTTCATAATTATTCATACAGAGTCGATAGGTGAATGAAAACACAGTAAAGCAAACAGCGTCTCATTTACTGTAAGGCAGCTTCCAGGTTCAAATCCTCTCTACTGTTAGAAGTTGGTTTATTAGAAACATGTGCAATTAATGTGCAATATCTGAAAACGATGAATCTATAACCCCAGCTGAAATGAATCTAGGAAATGTTTAACAAAGAATATTTAAACCTCTGTTCCCGACAGATAAACAGAATGTCATCTGATTTAAAGAATATGCTATAACTATGTTTATTTTCTAGATTATTTTATTTTAGAATAGAGTTTAAGTAAAGTTTTATCATTAAATGTGTATTCTTTATTAAACATGCAGATTATTATTTGAAATATGTTTGTTGTGTGATGGCGCATATATATGGATGTATTTTTCCCTATTTCTAACAATCATGAGTGAGAAACTGAGTAATTTTGACATTTAGTTTTCTGCCCTTTCAGAACGTTTTTTTTTTTTCTGATCAGAAAAGTATCTGAACTACAAAGCTAAAGTAGTAACCTTTCCATTAGGCCCGTCTTTATTCTCCTTTGCTGTCAAATACTCCTTTGTTTTGTCTTTAAAGGTTTTTATCTTTATATTTTAAATCCCCATTTTTTCAGTCACTCACACTCTTTTCTTTGATCCCCTAAACATGAGAACTCACCCCTCGGTTCTCCTTCTGATGTTTAATTCCAAAATGAAACTTCAAAAAATATGACCCAAGTATGTTTTTTTTTATGCATTTTTAAGAAAAGATTTTTTAAAAGCTTATTGGGCATGTGGTTGCAATGTTTTTCACAGCTGGGAACAGAATGGAGGCAATGGAGGTTGAATGTTATTATAACACTACTGTTAATGAAAACAAAATACATTGATAACACAGGTTTGAATTAAATCCATATTATTTACATCCCATTAATATATAAAAAAAAATCCTTTAGCAAGTTACACCTCAACCACACTCCTGTAGAAATCAGCAAAGATTCTGCTAAAATATCAATTCATATTTCAGACCTCTAATAAAATTAATATGTAGGGTGTTTTAAATTGTTTATTTAATTTTGTTAAATATGAATGAGGTTTTGGTTATTACATAGACTTAATATGAACCAAAGCTTTTATGATTAGCAGTGTCCAAATCATTAATTATTAGATGTGAAGTTTAATTATTGCCTCACAAACAGCCGATCATCCCACTACATTATGCTGCCACCATGATTAACAGTTTTGTTTTGTTTTGTTCCAGATTTTAGCCCTAATCAAGACTCCTAAATAGATTTATTGTTAGTTTATGAAGCTGGATCAATCTTTAAGTATCCCTGTTTTATTTATGTGTGGAAATTTCAGATACGCTAGCATTTTGGAACTATTTCTTATTTGATCCACTCTGACATATTTGGAACGTGTTTTTCCGAAGGTAGTGAAACATCTCACAGTTTACAATAGCTCAGAACCTTAATTGGTTTCTGAATTGGCTCTTATAACCATTTCCAATTAGCTCCAACAGGACAGAGATCACATTAAATGAGCTTTTTTACTAGAAAAAGCAGGCTAACATTAACCCTATCAGAAAGGTGAAGCTTTTTTTCCAC